TGGAATGAGCTGCCTTCAAGGGTGGTGGAGGCAGAAAATTCAACTGAGTTCAAAAAAAGATTGGATAAATACATGAAGTAAAAAGGGGTGATTATAGTTGAGAACTGGAAGGGACATCCTTGATAGGCTAATAAGCTCCTTTTTGTCCTTTAAAATTCTATTATACAGAATTTTAAAATTCCATTGATTGAATCTCCCATTTACAGGAATAAGCTAAATGATGTGTATCAATTTATCACCTGTTACATTTTTTATTATTTTACTTCGCTTTTTAATTAGGTGGCTAAAGGCGTGCAATAACTATGAAATTGCTTGTCTTTTATAATGAAATGAAAAATTATAAGACAGAATAAAATGAAAAAATGGAAGAACATTTTTCTTTTCTGTATAAAGCACAGTAAGTAAAGTTATCTTTGGTTTAGCCATATATCTTTTAATGCCAGTTTAATGAAATTTATGTCAATTCATCAGTGTTTGCAAGTCTGTGTTTCTAAGTATAAACCTAAACTTCAAAAATTTTCAAAACTTTTCTATTAAGTATGTTTTTACTAAAAGTACTAGAATCAATGGGCTACATTTTCAAAAAATCAGGACACTAAAATGTAATACTGTACAAACAATAATAATAGTTTAATTTAGAAATTCCATTATGAAAGAAGAGTGTAAGGTTTACCATACATTGACAAAAGAAACAGAATTCAAACATTCTAGAAAATCAATCATGACCACAAAGAACAATATATTCTACAAAGATATTCACAGCAGCATTACTAAATATTTAGAACTTACAACTTCTAAAAGAAATTAAATGCTTTAAAAATTGAATCACAATAGCAAAATGAAAAAAACAACAACTTAGAACTATAAATTTATTGTAGCAATAAGTGTAAAAATATCTTTTTATTTGGCAAGTAAAACATAAAATTTCTAAAAAATCAACAGAACAAGATGCAAAACTTAAAATCTGTAGACGATAGGGCTCTAACAGTTGCAAGCTCTACATTCACTTTACAATTAACCAAAATAGAAACATTTGCTATTTTTAATTAGTGTACACCAGGTACATACATAAAGTTATGTTACAAGAAATACGTAATATTTATTCATAATCACATTGTGTCAAACTGTTTCACAAAATTACGTAGAAGCATTTTACAGTATGAACTGGAAACTTTGATCACTGTATGACACCATAATAGATAAAATGTGCAGTCTTAAAACACTGGCAATAGCTAAAACAAAGGTGTTAACGTCACACTTTTTTTAACAACAACATCTGAATGTTTAATACTGAAATAGCTCCACTGGTATCATTCAAAAAACATACAATATCAGTTTGTTAAAACTTATCACATAATAAAGACTGGGAAGGAAACAAAACCACTTCTGATGATGACATTTTAAAAAACCTTTAGTGCACATGTAACTTGTGAGATTCTATTACAAATTACTGAGTTGATTTAGAAACAGTGTTGAATATAATCTGAGATTGATCCTGGGACAATGGAAGTGGCAAAAAACCTTGGGCTTGAGAAAGCACCTGAAATATAAAGTAATCAGAATGTATTATGATGAAATAAAAATAACACTACATACAGACATAATGAATATGTAATCACAGTTTTTCCCACCTTTTTCTTTTTTCGAAAATGTTGTAAATAACTTTGGGGAGAAAGGAAATTGATGACAATTTTTTTCAAGACATGCTTCTTTAATGAAGATACCAAAATTATAGTCTTAATCATACCACTGTTTTAAAAGAAAACCTCAACATTAATAAACAATTATAAAATACTGTGATCTAAAAGTTACCTAAAACAGTAAAACTTAAATAAAATCACTGAAAGTTACAAAATAATGTCATAAAAGTAGACTACCTGCTTGAATATTCAGCATACTGCATTAATCCATTTACTCACTTTCACGTAACTAGCATGAAAACCTAATTAACTTTAATTATTATAAGACCCCTGTTCAACAAAAAGAAGTTTATCCATAATCTGAAAGACATTTAAGGATATTAACAAAACAGGAACCTTTCATGTTATATATATCTCCATTCTATCATGTTTAACACTATATTTATGATTCAGAAATGTGAGCTTGAGGTATACATACACGACTTTCTCAACAGAATGACTAAAATCACTACACTACTGTTTTTTCTAGGTGTATGACCTACTGTGGAAATATACAGTTGATAAAATATTTATACTAACCTCCAAAAGAAACTTCCAATTTTCAATGTTAACTACAAAACAGTACACTACTGGAAAATAAGAAAGACTGAACTTCACTTAAAGGTCAAATACCTAGCTTTAAGTGTATACAGTTGTGGAGGAAAAGTATATGGAAGTAGAATACTTTAGTCATGAATAATGGAGGATGAGAGAGAATATTAAGTGAAACAAGATCTTTACATCATTTATTTCACCTATATAAAACACATAAACAACCTAAATAAAGACTAACAATTACTATTCAAATATGTGAAGCAACAAACAGAAAAATGCTAACAACTGTCATATATAAACGAGATACAACTGGCATGTTTTGACATATTTCCAGTCTTATTCAGACACAATACACACACCAACACATAGAACTGCTAGTAACATACTGTTTATTCCTTGAAATATACCACTAATATTTAGATTTATATTAAACCATGACAGTACTTTCATCTTTGGTTAGGGCAAAAGGGGTTTGAGACTAAAAATCAAAAAGTTCTTACACAACTGTTTGGATACTGACAAATGTTTTTCAAGTGCAGGAATATGGAATTACATGAGTTTGTATCCATACAGATATATTCACTGGCATATCAAAGTTAAGCAGAAAATTCATGTATGAAGAGGTTGTAAAAAAATGGTAAAATGACTTGTAATTTTTTTCTTTTCAAATTTGTGGATGAATAAAATAATAAATAAAGAACATGGCTGGGGACTACTTGCTACAGATCTCTTTTTCTGGAAGGTCCTAGTTCCCCAAATGTATCCATATTTTTTTTTTATGTCCAATGCCATTCAGTACAAGGGATATCTACATCTTAGGAATTCTAAATATCTGATATGAACACATCTGTATGATCCGAGTATATAAATATTTTTCATCAGGAAGAGCTTTTACATACCCTTTTTGAAAGGAATCAGTTTTTGGTGGAATCACACTATCTACATAATGCCAAACAATGTCAAAATGTGGTTCAGATATATCCAATCTAATCTCTTCACCCCACTCGAGGAATATTATTAAACAGCAACAAGGGCAAAGGGATAACGGCCAATGTGAATTTAAACAGGGAGATTAATTACTTATTGTTACAATGACAACATTTATTTCATTTGTGTGGAAGGCTTTGTCACTAAGCATTCAGAAAAGTTGTGCATGTGGAGAACCGGAAACAGGAAGTTCAATCAATGAGGGCCGGAGTTCCAAGAAAGTAGACCAACGACGTATCCAAAGAAATCAGTTCCAAGTATACGCATTTATAGCAGTAAGTGAGCAATAAAAAATCTTCATCTAACACTTTATTAGTTAACTTGATAGAATAATAATAATAATAATAACTGATAATTGTGGTTAAATACCTGAAAAATTTGGGTGAGATGGAATTAGTTAGAGAATTAAAATGATTTATTAGATTTGGACTAAACCGATGAATGGTTCAGATATATGACATTCCACAGCAATTTTATACTGGCCTTGCTGATTTCCATATTCAAAGTTGTTTGAATATAACTTACTCAACCTTCTATACACTATTCACACAAAATACAAACCAATAAATAAAATGATGTATGTCGAATAGTGAGCTAGTAAGTTAATAGGTAAATTGTGAGAGTATTCATCAGTTTTCATTTACACTAGTCAAAATCCATAAAAGATTACTTTCAAAATGTTTTGTAAACAAAGTATTAAAGTAATATCCACAACCTGTAGTTTACCAATTAACTGATGAGGTAAGAAGTTACATAACAAACACTTGATTAAAAGTGAAGGGTGAAGCATAAAGGCTAGTGTAAAAACATCACCAGGGATTTTTGACAAAAAGTTAAACAAACTGAAAGAAACAAAAATATTTTAGCTAAAAAAATCAAAGCAACCAAAGTAAAGCCTATATGAATTCAAATTCGATGACGAGGAACCCACTTTGAGACTAATAATGGCTGGAGACGGCTTGAATGGGTAAAGAAGAAAAACTTGTCATCAGGTGATGACAAAACCTTGTCGAAACATTGTACATTTGCTGTTATGCTAAACTTATATTAAAGTTTTTCTTCATTACCCATTCAAGCCATCTCCAGCCATTAAAAGCCTATATGGTTTCTCATAAAAAAAAATTAAAAGAAAATTTAATTTAAAACTAAATAAATCACATACATTACATTTTTTTATTGAATAGAACATACATAGGCATCATTGTTCTCAAAAGCTATCACAGTCCTGTTCAACATACACTATATAACAATTTATAAAAGGCTGTTGCTAAAGTTAATACAAATTTACATGCATTTCTGGGAAGATTGCTATGTTTTTCTCAGCTTATTACATTTCAGAAAATTTCACCTACTCATCACAGCTATTTTACCCCTGGTATCATAGGAATGGGTGGGGTAGTGTGGCTCAGTGGCATCATGTTTTGGACTTATAGTTGTGAGTTCGAGCCTGGCCTGCATCATGCTGTATCCTTGAACAAAACACTTTACCCCAATTTTACCAGTTTATCCAGCTGTATGATTTGTAACAGCTGTTAGCTGGAAGTTAACCTGCAATAGACTGGCATCCTGTCCAGGGAAATGTGTCACCATTCTTACCTGCTACCTGCTAGTGCCAACTAAGTCAGAGTTCAGCACCAGATCCTGTGTACTATCTCATCATGGGAGGGATTTAAGTAACTTGCCAATTATAGGAGTGACTTAGGTCATGAAACTTCTAACATGGGTAAAAGCAATTGAAAGCTAAAGAGCTAATACAGTGTAGTATGCTACAAGAGAAATGAATAAAAAAAACAGTGGTTGTGATGGCCACCGTGAAGGGACAAAAGACATAATTAAGAGCTGATAATGAAAAAAAATTGGTTAGAGAAGACAATATTAGTCTTGCAAAGAATAGTATGTGTAACCCATGGAAAAACACAAACTCATAAGATAAACAACTGCTTCTCAAGAACATTCAGAAAGGTTAGGCTTCTTTATTGACAAAATACTGACTATAAAGAACTTTGACCATTCATATATAGGCTGCAACACAGATCACATGTTACAGGTGGTAGAACTTAAGGGGCTACCCCATTTCTCGTGACACATGCAGGCCTATATTAAAGTTGGAATGAATGACAGAGTACAACATATCATACATGGAATTGCAATTGACTAAGTGGTGTTACATGTCAATGATGATAATATTCAGATAAATTTATAATTGTGTGCATGTGAATTGAGACACCAATTTTTGCGATCTATGAAAGAAATTATTACATCTGCTGCTTTGATCACTGTTTCTGTTGGAAGCTCAATTTTGGACTGCAAACAACCACAAAAACTATGTTGCTGGGTGTGTCAGTCACATGTCAAAAAGAGGGTCAGCTAGGCATGACTCCTATTAAAAGATGTAAAAATGAAGTGTAACACATTTCCTTCAAACATCACTACCAGTATACGGATTGACAGTACTTACGTGTATATACAGATCTACACATATCAGCCCCAAAACTTTCAAATTTATTCTGCCTCCTATTTGTATTTGCCACAAAATAGAGTTATTTTAGCTTAAAACATCAAATTGTATTCAGTAATGGGTGGAAGGTGGAAAAAAATTCATATTTTACCAACCATCACAGTGTTCAACAAAATAACTCCATCGAAGAAAGCAACGAATGGAAATAACAATATTTATGATAATAATAAATTATAAGAACATCAACTGTTTAATAGATTGCTGTTACAGTTTTAATTTTGTCAGCCAAAGGATAAAAAGTACAAATAATAAGAATATAGATATAATAGGTTATGTGCTAGGTTTAAGAAAAAAGTACTAGGAGACTACTTAGGGATAAAGAGAAAATTATTCAAGAAATAAAAATACTAACTTACATACAACTGATTGGAGAAAAATCACAATTACCTGAGGGTTAAACATGATAGAGCCAGCTGTAGAGATAGCTGATTTGTTCAGGGAGGGAACTGTAACTGTTTTAGAAATACCAGATTCTACTACTGTTGCAATTGTTGATGGGCTGACATACACAGAGGACTGTGGATTGCCTTCCTGGAGAGGCATTGTGGTGACAGCAAAGTTCGGAGGCACAAATTGTACTAACATCAGCTGCTCTGAAACTCGTCGAAGCTCTTCTTGCTGTAGGAGTATTTGTTGCTGAAGAAGTTGATGGCGTCGTTTTAGGTAGTCCTGAAGCTGGGTATGGCCTGGAGTCATCACAATGGCAGACTGAACACACTCTCCTTGGGACACTGGCTGCTGGAATCATGGAAATATTTATCACATGATGCACATACTTATCTTATTACTCTTGGAAAAAACACTAATGACTTCATGTGCTGGCAACAAAGCTAAATACACAGAGAATAGTATTCACACATCTGAAAATTAAATTACGATGTAATTAACTTAATCATAAAAATTTCAGTATGTAAGTTTTACAGAAGGGGCTCATGGGTTATTTATTAACAGTTCTTTCCAATTCTATTTAGACAGAAATACCCTTCAGTCTCAGTCTTCAAAAGTAATCTTGAGAAAACAACAGTTCTATTTATTTACTCTAAAAAAGTTATTCCTTGAAATATCATTATAAAAACATTTACTCATTTCATTAACTAAGCCTTCATATTTTGACCAAATTAGTAATAAGTGCCACTGAAAAATTACTGAAATACTGTAAAATACTAGACATGGGTGAAATAATACTTTTGGTTAGACATCAGATAGTAGACATATCCATACAAGTTGTAAATGTTCCACAGTTGTGAGCTACCACTTAATGATTCAATCCAGTATATGGTGTTGTGAGACAGTACTATACAACCCAGATGAGAATGTTTTTTGTTGTGTACTTACCACCACTGTTGCTGCCACTATCGTGACCACCTGTAGCATATAATGGTAACACAATGGGTGGCCATGGTTTATTTAAACTAAATAAACTTTTTATTTGAACAGGACACAAGATGGTATTTAATGTTGTTATGAGGAAGCTGGAGAATGATGACACCCTCTTTAGTATTTCAGATAATCACATAAACTGTATTTGGATGTTACCTATGTATCGTTAAGTTTTTGAAAGTTCAAAATAATTGATGGTACTCATCTCTTTCAGATTGTCTGTGGTGTACATCAAGTGTTGTGACAAAAAGTCTTTATGAAAAATAAACTTAGAAACCTAAGTTTTGATTTATCTTGTAGATGACACATTTGTAGTACATCCACATTCATTAAACAAATTAGAATTCCAGAATAATTCAATAACAATATTAGTTCCTGATAGAATAAGAATGTAACCATCAAATTTCTGGATTGGCCACAACAGCAAACAAACTTTTCCAAATTGAAGTCTATAGAAAACTCACATAAACAAATATTTAATTTTTATGTCAAAAAATACAAAAATATTACCAACAGAATATTGAAGCTGACATTATAAGATCAAATTTGATGCTATGAAGTTTAATGGAACTTTTAAAACATTTATAATTTACTTAGAAAGCCGGATAAAATTGCAGTATTTTTTGGGCATTCTATTCAAGTTCCTGATACATTTTTTGTTATAAAATGCATATATGAAAACTGCATGCATTTTTTTTTTGGATATCTAAATTTGTGAAACATAAGGCTTAGGGGAGAAAATTATTTTTACTTAAGTGTTAAAGCTTGAATACACAATGAGTCCAAGAAATTTTTGTTTTTATGTATATTTTTTTATATACTGTTAGCAATGGTGGCTCATCAGAGTAGGAAAATGAGGCCATGGCACTCTACAAAGATTGTGAACAAATAAAACATTTTAAAAATTAATATGTATTTTCTTTGTTTCATGCATAAAACTCTTGAAAAACTGCTTATTTTTGTAGTAAAATGCTCAAAAATTTTATTGTTCCACCCAATGACACTTATCAGAGAGAAATCTTGTTTTACGAGTCACACAGCAGTTGTGTCCCTCAGTTCCTTTTTTTGGTATCAATACAATTTTTCTATGCTTACGACAGAAAGAGCAGTGAAGAGTTGAGCTTTTTTACTGAGCTTACAAAGAATTTTATGCCTATATTCCAAGCTTGCCAAATTTGGTGAAGATACTCCTAGTGAATTCAGGTTGGTCAAATCAAACAATTTTGTTCTTATAAGGTTAAATGAGAAATTCAATCAAGCATGTATTAGTAAAATATGCAACAACTAAATAAAACAACCAACTTAACTCATTAACTGAGTATTGCCATATCCTTGATGCAAATAAAAAGTTGAGAATTTTTTCTAAACAAGGATACAGAATAGGTTTCAGGGTCTAAGTTCTTGTAAGTTTTTATTTGTATTTTTAACCCATTTTAAGAATTAAAGAACACATAAATAACATACTGATGAAAAAAAATTAGCATAGACAAAAAACAAGTTTAAATGACAGGTTAGATGACATTAATGTTACAATGACTATGATAATGTTATCCTGATGAGTACAAAAATATAAGTAATATTAACTAAGTGAAAATAACTGAATATATTAGAAAGAGGTTTGTTTAGAGGTAACAAAAAGTTAGCATACATATTATAGATACTATAAAGTGTTATTAACCTCAAATGTAACAGAAATACTCTATGGAGGTAAAATGAACAAATTAATTCCACCTTACCATTTAATCTTACTATAATGAAGTAATGTGTATGTATGTATCTATCTATGTAATCCAAATAATAAATACAATGTGACGCCATCTATCGAGTGGTGCCACAAACAAAAATCCATACAAAATTTCACAGTTTGGGTATTCAAAATTCAAACAATTAGAAAAATAACTACAGTATGTGCAATACCATTTCTTTATCACAGGACACAATTTTAAAGTAAAGTACTCTTCTCACAACAAGAACACGACTTTTACTAGAACTGTACATGAGGGATTGATTATATCTTTATTGATGTAATTTGTAAATATAGTACCAAAAAATGGAGTTCTTAAAAAAAAAAAAATATTTTTTCAATAAAGGGTACCACTTTTAATATATAAAAACATTACAGCTTATATCAGTACAATCTGAATACTTTTCCTGTACAGTACTTCCCAGAAAAATCCTTTTTTAGAAAATGTTCACTTTCTCAATTTTTTTTTCAATGAGGTATAAATACTACAATTAGTAATTACTAACACAAACAGCCACAATTAGGGCAACATTTCTGCTAGTAGTGATAAGGTAGATAAGAAAAAGTAGAAGCTATATAAGAATTTATTATGAAATACCATCTATATTTCTATCAGCAAGTTTGTATCAATTCCTGAAAGCATCAGGAAATGTGATTTTACTGACCTTAAATGTAACAGATCAAGCAAACTTGAAATACTGTGATTACACTAAACTAAAATACCACAGTACTTTGGGACTTTTGAATAGGTAAGGTAATCAGAATAAATATGTATGAAATGTTTAAAAAAAACTGAATAACTAGAGAAACAATATTTGAAACGTTACAGTTTTAGTGGTGTACAAAATTGCAAAGACAAAGTTGTTTTTAAATCTTTGAAATTTATATTGTGTGAAAAGTAACATATATTTACTTGGCAGCTCCAAAGTATTTAAAAGAAAAATACAACCATTACCATGCGATAAAAGCAGGACTAAAATCCTATTTTAGAAAATGGTCACTTCTCTCAATTTTTTTTCAATGAGGTATAAATACTACGATTAGTAATTACTAGCACAAACAGCCTAGTATGGTCCAAATTTGCTTGAAATTCTGAATGTGTATCATACGGTCATACTAAAATTACATATGTATATGGTTAAAAAACAGCAAAATTATGCATTACTATAGTAGCATTACATTATTTCTCATTTGCTGAATGTTGTCTTTCACAAACCTTTAATAAAAACTTCTAATTCCAAAATAAAATAAGAAGTTTTACAATTCCTAGTCAATTTTAACTGATTTCATCTGAAAATTCTTAACATATCAGCTTGTTTTGATCTGAAAGTTTTTCAATGTGGAACATTTCTGTTGGCATTAGTTTGCTCAAGAAACCAAACTTCACTTTTGTTTAACTTCTTTTTTCAAGTTATTCAGTTATTGCTAAAGCCACTCCTTAAAGTTTACAAGGCTACCTTGTGATTAGTTAAGAAATGAAGAATATATAATTGAGAAATTGGAATCAATCTTCCATTTTTAAGTAACAGTATTTCTAAATATTGTAAATTTAGAATAGTACATAAACAATTTAAAAATAATACCTGTAATTTTTTTTATTATACGAAATGTGTGTATTTCCAGCTTATATATATATATATATATATATATATATTTATTTATGCACGTCTTAGTTTATATGCAAGAAACACTAAATACTTTTCATAGCCTTCAATCTTATTTGGTTACAGAGCCATGAAATAGAAAATTAGACCCCCCCTCTTCCCATGCCCACGTCATCCTTTCTGTTGGAAATTGGCAATAGTTCTCTCTGACGTTGAATACTATATTATTTATAACCAATAGAAACCTGAGGTTTTCCTCTATCAGACGATGTATTATATTACATTATTTTCTGTGAAGAGAATTATAAATTTTGCTTTCAGTTTAAGCTTGATTTCCACAGGAAACAAATTCATGACTGTAGATGAAGTTTTAACAGCTCTTATTGTATAGTTAGAAAGCCACAAAAATCGTGATAATTAGGGACATTGTCTGCTTTTTAATTGTCATTATCCTGTGTTCTTTGATGCATTTTTTAATTAAATAAAAATTATTTAGCTGAGTATTAGCATTAGCATAAAAAAAAAAGACAACCCATGTAAGGTTTTTTTAAGAGTAGCTAAAATGTAAAAATAGGAACTTTTTATGTTAGTTAAGGTTAGATTAGATGAGATTAACAATACAATACAATTTTTTCATGAGGTATGCTCATGAGTAGCTTGTATGTAATGTAATTTGATAGTGCAACATAAGCTGCACATTCACCAACTGATTTACAACTTATAATGGCACGATTAGTAGTTAGACAGGGTTCAAATGGCAATAAAACAATAAAATATAAGTATAAATAGATGTATATTGTTATGTGTTTAAAGCTATTTAGGATAAACAAATGCAGTTTCATGTTACAATTTGAAGTCATTCTAGATAGAAAAAAAGGGTAATTTAGATTTATTTTGATTCTGTTTCTGGTAGTTATGAGGTCAGTCATATTGACCAACCTTGTATAAAATTAGGGTAGAGAAACTAACAGATAAAATATATAGTTCTACTTAAATTTATTTAGGAGGTTTCACAAATTACACAAATAAAATTTGTGATTTTGAGGCAAAGAAAAGTATTTTCAATCTCAACACGGAAATCACTTAGCACTCGGACTA